TCAGATACTTCTGGAAGGCTTCTAACTTCTGCCCTTGTTATCAAAAAGCTCTGAGTAAAACTATAGCCACTCACTCTGATTGCTATGCATTCAGGCAAAATTACTGTCTTGATTATGCAGCTAATTTGAACAATATTCCATCAGTTTGTATGATATACAGTTCAGTTTTTTAAAAAGCTCAAAGTGTGCTTCAGGAATCATTGTATCTAAAACTCTGTCATTCACAGAAGAAAGGAATGGTGCTCACTTGCTCTTCTCCAGTATTTTTTATAAAATCTTATTAACAGCATGAGGCCTAATTTCCATGTTCACCTTTGCCTCGTCCAAGTTATCATGAGATAAATTTTGCATTATTTTTACATGGAGAATATTTCTTATCAATGTTACTACTTGTGGTGACAGCTGATATCAAAACAACTCTCAGGCCCTTCAACCTGATGTAAGCCCCAGCTGTTATTGGGAGTGGATAACATGAGAAAGCAACAGTCTCCACACCAAAGTGACAATCTTATTAAGTGAATGATTATGGTAATTGAGTATTTATAACTGAATTCTTCATTATATTTAAGGATGCATATTCATAATCTTTTGTGTCAAAAGGAGGAATCCAAGGGGAGAAAAGAGGGCAAGATTATCAGGAAAAAATTCTATTGTTCATAACAGATTTTTTTTAAAAAGTGTACTAAATTTCAACTAGTTTCATAGCTTACTTAATTTACGCAGTTTTGAGTAACCATACAGAAAACTTTCATGTCACATAATCTCAACTGGGATTTTTTGTTCTTATGTTTAGTTATTTACCATAAATAAATTAACATAAGAATAAAAAATTCCAGCTGAGATGAGGGAACTTGTCTCTTCAGCAATAGTAGCTTTCTACCCCTCTCCCCCACAATAAGCTTTTGCAACTCCCTTGTGTTCCAACAGCAATTTGACTCAGAATGTGGGGAAAGTTTTTGGGACCTGTCCCAAAGGTGTCAAAAACCTCACTGGATGTCCAGAATTAATGTTCTGATTTTCGTCTAGAAGAACTTTTAGGTATCCAAATACCATATAGGTGAAATAAACTTGGCTGATACCTACCTCTTTCTGAGCATCCTTGGCTTGCTTTTCTGCCTCATTAAGAAGAGTTTTTAGACTAGATGCATCTCGTTGATGTTGTTCTTTCAGAGATCCCATTTTATTTTCCAGCTCTTTTCGGGTCAGCTCAAGAACACTCAGATCGCTGGTAAGTGCTAAACTCTGCTGCTGAGAGCTGCAACACAAAAAAAGGACGTCAAACACCTTGAAAATATGGCATGATAAAAAAAAATTAATTCATTTGGCATGATGGATTCCAATCCCCCCTATCCAAAACCACATAACACCCATACACAGGGCCGGCCCGAGGGCTTTTTGCGCCCTAGTCGGGGCTACCTTCTGGCGCCCCCGTGTCCAATTATGGGGTTGCCAACCTCCAGGCAGGGCCTGGAGAGAGAAGCCCTCCTCCTCCTCAGGACCACCCCCTCCGCCATCCTTTTGCCATCACCGCCTCCCCCCGCTGCCTCCGCCACCAAAGGGGGGAGGGGGGGAGGCCCGCCTCAGCTCAGGAAGGATGTGAAACTCCCAGAATCAGTTAACCATAAGTCTTTAGCATCTGCTGCTTCCCTGCAAGCAGAAGGCCCCGCGTTCAGCCCCGGGGGGGGGGTCTCCAGCAGCTGTGGTGGGGTCGTCTCAGGCAGCCGGGGAAGTCTACCGCCAGCAGCCGAAGCAGAAACAGATGACAGGTGGGCAGGCCACAATCGGACACGGGCTGAGGCGGCTTCGTGTGCTGCCGCCGCTCCTGATGGGGACAGGATGAAGAGATCTCCTGCGAGGTGCTGTGCAGCCAGAAGGCAGTGCTGCCTTGCGGTGAGGAGTGGGGGGAGGCGCCTCTAACTGCAGCCGCCGCTCTGCCCGCCCCCCTCCTGTGCTTTGACCGGGGCTTTGAACAGTGGCCTGCTGCAGCCTCAGACCAGCCCGGCAGCGACCCATGTGGATTGATCTTCCGGGCAGGTGTTTATTGACGCAGCGGCAGCAGAGAGGTTCCCTCCCACCCTCCCTCGGCAGTTTCCCCCCTCCGTCGGACGGCACCGGGCAGAGAGATCTTGCCCGAAGAACCTGGAAGTGACGCTCCAACCTGACTGCCCCACCCCTTCCCTTCCCTTCCACACAGTATTTCTGCTGGGCGGAGGCGGGGGGGGTTGCCTGGAGTCTTCCTCCTCCCCTTCTCCTGGCAACCGCTGCAGCACCTGGGGCACCCCCTGCCTGCCCGGTCATCCCCACCCCCCGCGCCCAGAATACCCTCCCGGGGCCACCTCGTCTGCGCATGGAGAGCCTCACTCCCGAAGGGAGGGAGGGAAGGTGGGCGGGCGACAGGAGGCCCTGGCGGCTTTGGGCAGGGTGGGGGCTTTTGGTGGGGGGAGGGCGGCAGGGCAGTTGGCACCCTGTTTGGAGCTCCGCCCTAGGCCAGAGACTAGCTGGCCTAGTGAGAGAGCCGGCCATGCCCGTACAATATGTACTATTTTGATGACTAAAGACAACAGTAATGTATGGGCATACTGCAGACAATAAGAATAAAACGATATTCCACAAAGGATTTATATTTTGTTGGTGGAAGCACAAGCAGATCTTTTTATTTACCTCACAACACCAGCAGTCCTTCTTCAACAATATTTAAGAAAATTAATCCAACAGGAAGCCAGAAAAAGAAGCTACAGCAGGTATTCCCACCATTTGGTGGGCATACTATCTAAACAATTGGTACTATTTATACATGAATTTTTGATTAACTCTAATTACAAAAACACAGCACAAAACAGTAAACAAAAACATAGCACAAACAGCTGCCCAAGAAACCCACTCTCCCTTTTCCATCTAAACAGCTGAGCCACGGGGGCAACCTGCTGGGGGCGGCTCACTGTTTAAAGGGACTTTCTTGGGCAGTTAGCCCCAAGGGCTGGCTGCAAAGAAAGCCCCTTTAAATAGGTGAACCATGGGAGCAGGCTGCCCCACAGCTCACCTGTTTCCCATCTAAACAGCTAAGCCACGAGGGCAGCCTGCTCAGCACCGCTCAGCTGTTTAAAAGGGTTTTCTTGGGCCACCAGTGCTGCCCAAGAAAACCCCTTTAAACAGTTAAGTCACATGAAGCAAACTGCTCCTGTGGCTCAGCTGTTTAAAGGGGTTTTCTTGGTCAACCAGCCCCAGGCTCGGAGACATTTAAACCTCCTGCTTTCTGCTTCCCATGGCTTTTTGCAGGGAGCAGGAAGCAGTGGTTTAAATGGCTTCCCTGCTTTCTGCTCTTCAAGAACTGTCATGAACTGCATCAAAATTAGTGAAAGTTCGTGGCAGTTAAGTTTGCAAACATTGTTCAAGAACCACGAACCGGCCAAAATTTGTGACTAACTTTAGTTCATCAGCCAGTTCATGCCCATTCTTACTGCTATGCATCAATGTTTGCCCTGTTCTCAAAGGAAGTAAACAAATACAGCAAACTGTAAGGCTGCTCCAAGTAGAAGATGTCTGATGTACTAAATAGGTATGGTCCAACCTGCTAAGAAAAGAGTTCCAAAGGTGGGAATTCTTCGAGTTCATTAAAGGAAAACCTTTTTCTTCTATTTTTTAAAATTAGCACCTAATAATCAGGTAAGAACTGGCTTCATCAGTTCAATGCTTACAGGGGTCCCCCTTTAAATTTAAATACTTACTTATGAAGCTCTTTCTCTTGCCTCTGAAGTTCACATTCAAGCAAAGAATTTTCCTTCTTTAATGAAACACATTCGGCTTCTAGAACAGTCCACTCCCTTCTCAGCTTCTCGAGTTCACCTACAAGCAAGGGGAAAATGTATTGTTACTCACTAAAGCAGACAAAGAAATAGCTGTCTTTAATTCTCTTCAAGTAATGTCTTCAGGTATGTCTTCAAATTCTCTGAAATGTAACATTATTAATAGTTATGTCTGTTTTATGTTTTAAAAAATCAACAATAACCTTTAAGTCATGCTTCATAGTTATGAAAGTAATACTTTAAAAAGAAGAAATCCACTACCCAAAAGCAGTCTGATGAGCACTAAGCATGGTCTGTGAACCATGGATTGTGGAAACCAGTTCAGCATCAATATTCTTTTAGTAGGGAGAGAGGAAAGAGTAAAGTGGTTTCCTTGAACCTTTAATAAGTTTTTATAGTATCCTGAAGAGATTAGGTTGGCAGAGGGGGGCCTATGAGGCACATATCCCCCAACTTTACAGACAGTCTAGGATGCAATAAGTATTTAAGGACCTCCTCCAAAGCAACAAGAGGTCAGAGACAAGTTAGGACATAGGATTGGAAGAAAAGTTATCTGAATTAATCAACACCCTTAACCCCCAGAATATGAGGGTGAAATTAAAGTTGAGGAAATTGTGCCAGTTTTCATGCCCTCAAGCTCTCTGCTAGTGAATGAAGAGTAGTAGATGTATCTGTGTCCAGTACTGTACTTAGGTATTGGTCTAGATGAGCAGCTTCCTGCGTGGCTAGCCCTGAACCTCAACAGTCTGTGCAACTGAACCACAATGTTACGCTACTGAGGATCCAGGCTAAGCAAGCAGGAAACTATTAATCTTATCCCAGAGCTCAGAAATTGGTGTGCTATTTCAGTGGTGGTGGAGGAAGGGGGAGTTTTCTAATTGTTTGTCTCCTTCCCCCATGACTTCTTACAAACTCTTGTAACTTGTAAGCAACTTGTAACTATCATCAGGAAAAATAAAATCAACAAGGGCTACTGAGTTGATAGATACATTGTATATGGTAGAGCCAAATAACTTGAACATATTTTAGAAAACACCGTCAGTTCGGCTGAGTCCAAATTAAGCAATTCTGGGAGAACAGGCCAGATCAGAGACATTCAGAAGTAATTAGCTCAGAACAGACAATGCTGTGTAAATATACATATATGCAATACCAATTACTCTACTGTTGATACAGTAATTGTATTAGTACAATACTATTACCTTTAGCATACTGTTAATTAGCCCTTTTGTGCATTTTTAATCAAGTTCCCACACAGTTTCTTTAATGCAAAAGTTTAATTGAAACAGCAGCAGAAGTAGGGATGTGCATTCTGGTCCAAATACATATATTCAAAAAATACCTTATCAGTATTTTTTATATATATTTGTTGTTGTTTTTTGGATGGTATCTGGGATTTTGTGGGATACTGGGAAATGGGTCCCCAAAAATATTCAGCCGTAACCAGGAATATTGGGAGCTAGCATTTTAAGACTGCCAGGACTGTTTTTATTTTTTCCTGTGTTTGTGTCTTCCAGGGGCTAGGTATCAGCTTGTCAGGTTGGTTTGGCTTGGACTCTGTCCTTTGAAATAGGTTTTGTTAGTCTTGCAACATTGTGTTCTTTGCTTAAGTTACTTTGCATCAAGTTTGTGGTTTGAAGTGGATTCTCGAGTTCAAAATTACATTTGACTGTTGGGTTGTACACTGGCTCAGATTCTCCTCAGGTGGTACATTTTTTGTCTTAGACTTGCCACATTGTCCCATGCTTCTGCCATGATTCCCTGGTTCTGCATTGGTTCTTCGGGCTTTTTGATTTTGTCTGTTTTAAAAGGCTTTTGGCTAGGGGTTGCTTTGCTTGCACTTGTGTCTTTGCCTATTCTTTGCCCTGGAGAAAGATTGAAACCCCGCCTCCCCCTGAAACAATGGAGAATGGCTGAGGGCATTTGTTCACTGCCCCACAGAACTGGACCTCTTGGTCCAATTCACTTAAAACTTCGGGGATAATCAGAGGACAGACAGTAGCAGCTCTGCTGCAATTTTGATGCAATTTGCTCAAAAACAGCCCCCCCCCAAAAAAGATTCTCCATATGAAATAATGGAGCCAAATAATATTAGAATCCTGACAAAAACCTAGATCCAATTACCAAACCGGTATTTGGAACCTGGATAACAGGGTGTGAAGAAATGCCTTTTTCTCTTCTGGCAGGTTGGGAACAAACCCAACCTCCCTTTTGTGTTTTAACAGTGTTTTTTTTCTCTCTGGGCTGGAAACAGGCCGGGGGGGGGAGAGTTGGTGCAATGGCTTTCCAGATTACCTGTATTAGTACAATACCATTACCTTTAGCATACTGTTAATTAGCCCTTTTGTGCTAATAGGTTTAGCTAAAGACAATGGGATGGGTCAAGCTCCCCCCCCCCCCAGCAGGGATCAAAGAGCTGGAGGACTTTGGGCTAGTGAGGCACTAGGGAAGAAGATCCAGGAAACGCTTCTCTGACCTGGGCTGGCCGGGTCAGTAAGAGGGGAAGAGATCTGATATAAACTCCTTGCAGGAGGAGGAGGCTTTCTTTTCCTTGGGTGCTGCAGCCATGAGCACATGCAGACCTCTCCTCTGGGAAGGAAGCCATTTTTGACCATGTGCTCGCCCACAGAGCTACAGGTAATGGTTATTCTGTAGAGATTCCCTGATATCCAGATTTTTTTCAAGGTACACATCCCCAGTCAGAAGTTCAGCATAATGAAATATGATGTTTTGATATTTATTTTTAAATTAAAGTGTTATTGAACTTCAACTTTTTATATATTAATAGCATGACATAACTAGGTCCTACTCTAAGCCTTCTTTTTAACTATGCTGTTAAAACTCTGTGCCTCAGGGCACCTTCGGACATAAGTAACTGTGATGTAAAGCTGCCTTCACAGAGATCAAGAGAGGCTCTTGTGGTGTTTTCGCATACATAAGGTAAACCAATTTTTTTACACTGTTGGTGGAAACCCTTTCCTCTGTCTGTGGTACTGTTACACTGTCTGGATGGGACTGTTGTATTAACAGTAATTACTGACCATGGCTGCACAGTGCCTAACAGGGACCAGCTTTCACTGCAGACAGATGTATTTCAACACCTTACGATGTTGCATCAGCAGATAATAAAAGTCCCCTATCTTCAATGCCAATGCAATAGGGTGAGTGATTAGCATTTCTGGCTCTTCTGTCTAAAACAAATGTATTACCCCTTCTTGGCTTGGATTACACAAACATAAAAAACACTAAGAAAATAATGATGGAACAGAACAGAACACATTTTAGCTTCCACTAAAACGAGTCAAACCTTGTAAACGAGCTGCTTCCTCTTTCTGCTGATCCTCACACTGCTGGCATCGTAGCTGAAAATTGGCTTGCAGCTTAACAATCTCTTTTTCGTATTCGGAAGCCTCACTGCGCCACCTTTCAAGCTCAGCCCTTACTTTCTGAAGCTCTTCTTGTAAAACGGCCACATCCGTGTCCCTTTCTGATGCAGCCTTTTCAGCCACTTGTTGCAATAACAGAATCTCACTCTGAGCACTAAGTAAATCATTTCGAGCACTGGAAATTTCACTCTCCTTTTCCTCTCGAAGATGATCAATATCTTCCTGTAGCCTGCGCAATTGAGCTGTAAATATTGACAGAAAATAAGATTTTCTTAAGTTGTAAAGTAGGAAAATTCATGTTAGTCAGGTATAGTTCTATAAAGTAGGCACTGCTTGAACTTTTAAATTTTACATATAAAAAATCAGTATGGCAACATAGTGATATAATGCCAACTCCACCTTCATCTCACCATCCATAAATTGGATTCAGTTTTGTGTTCTGAATACAAAAACCTGGAAAATAAAGTCCAATAATTTTTGGCATTAGTATAAAATTGGAAAACATTTGTTCTGGCATCTCTTTATTTTTGGAATGTTTGTGTCATCACAAGTATTTTCTTGAACATTCATAAAATGATGTTCCACCAACTGCTGTTGCCCATATATACATGCAAGGATGCAAAGGAAAGGCGTCTCTATATACAACATTAATTATGAATGTTCCTCTTTGCATCGCCCTGTGCACAGGGGCAGATGGTTATTTGCCCCTCCAAAGCAACCCTCTCTTTCTTGTGGTCTTTCAGGAAGGAATGAACAACTAGAATAAATGCCAGGATATAATATGAATCTCTGAAGCTGCCAAATGCTCCCACTATTACTATCTAGCTTGGAAGCCCTACTACAGGTGCCGTCACTATCACTAGGGATGGGCACAAACTGGGAAAATGTGGCTTGTTTCAGTTAGTGGTTCGTGGTGTGCCTGATTCATGACCTATAAACCAACAGAACTAAGATCAAACCAGAGAACCTCTGCAGTAGAAACTGAAGGGGGGGGCATTTTCCCAAGCCCAGCAGAACCACTGCAATGTACTAGTGCCCAGCAGAACCAAGTGTCAATGTGGCAATGCCAGGTCAATCACAATCCAAGCGGGGGACATTTTTGTAAGCCCAGCAGAACCAGCACAATGCACAGAGCTGTACCAGCAGTCCAGCAGTACCAGTGCAATATATTTGTGCCCAGAAGAATCCAGTGCCAATGGCAGTGCCAGCTCAACAGGCTAATGTCAAGCACAGAATCACCATCCAAGCAAGGGAAGTTGCAAGCCCAGCAGAACCAGTGTAATATACAGCAAAACCCAATGCCATTGTGACAATGCCAGCTTAACAAGACTAATGTGAAGTACAGAATCACAATTCAAACAAGGGGGAGGGGTTTGCAAGCCCAGCACAACTAGTTCAGTGTACAAAATGCCCAATAGAACCCAGTGTCACTGTGGCAATGTAAATAAAAGAGGACTAGTGTCAAACCAGAGAATCCTTGCAGTACAAACTGAAGGGGGGGTATTTTTTTAAAGATAGCACAACTAATTCAGTGTACAAAATGCCCAGTAGAACTCAATGCCACTGTGGCACTGCAAGCTTAAAAGGACTGATCTCAAAGTGGAATCGTAAGTGGAATCTTAAGAAATCCAACAAAGGGGGCTGATTTTGCAAGCCCAGAACAATTATTGTAATGCAGAATGCCCTGCAGAACCCAGTGCCACTGGTATTACAAGCTTAAAAGGACTGCTCTCAAAGTACAAAGGCGCTAATCCAAGCAAGGAAGGGGGATTTTGCAAGCTCTATATGCATGAAAATGGAAAGGGAACACAAAGGAACTCTGGCAAGGGGGGGGATCTCTTTAAACTGAAAAGAAGTTTGATAAACATTTCGATTGAGTGAAGGCAGTCTGTCTCGAAATGTATCCTTTTACAAACTACATGAACTGCTTGAAATTTCGTGGAACGTTTGTGTCTGTTGACCTGCCACGAACTTCAGTTCATGAACCACTGTTTTGATTGTAACTACTGTTAGCCACTTAGGGGACCATCTACTTTAAACTAAAAATATAAATTCCATCAAGTAGCAAAGAGAGCTAGAAACAATGTGTCAACACTCCAGATCATTTTGTTTGCTCAGTAATAACTGTGAGAAAAAGTTGTGGTCTGTATTGCAGAAGTGGTAGGCAATTTGTTTCAGTTAATCAAAATATTGCAGAATTTCATATCTTACCCTGTTTCTCATTGCAAGAACAAACCTTCTATTTCTTTAATTACTAGATCTAATAGATATATAAATGATAACTGTTTGTCCAAGGACCAGACCCTTTGCAGAACTGCACCCTTAACTGTCTAATTAAGATAATATTTCAGTGTTTCTACAACAAAAACATGTAATTAGTACCAACTGGTCTGCCAAATAGCTTTTGCTGTTTTTGAGTGAGAATTTTAATTTTATTAAAGGAGTAAAACTGTGAAACATACAAAAAAATTAAAACCATACACAAACATCAACAAAATACAAGAAAAAGAAAAAAAGGAAAAAGGAAGGGGGACATAAAAGCGTCCAGTTTTCTCTACAACAAATATAATTTTGGTTACAAAATTTTCCTTGCTTAGATATTAAAACAAGGACTCTCTCTATTTTTGTTTCCCCTTAAGCAAATTACTTATTCAGGAAAGCCGCAAATCATCAAGCCATCCTTATCTTTTTCATACAAAAACCCCAATCTCTGATAAGCAATTATCTTCTCCCTAACCAATACTGTAAATTTAGCCATAGCTACAAAGTCCAACATCTTCTCTAGCCATTCTTCTACTGCAAGTATTGTTTGACATTTCTATTTCTATGTGTATATAATTTCCACTGCCATAGTCAAATTAGGGACAAAACTCTGTAACTTCTTTCCAATCGACTGTCCATTAATCGTAACAAAAAGACTTTTGTTTAGTGTCTTTAGAATCTTCTGCAAATTCCATATCTTCCTCTTCCCTTCGTAGAAAATTGCCCAAAAGCAATATAATCCTCTGTCAGAAATCTTCATCAGTTTCTTCTTGGATACCTCTCAGTCTCAGACAATACTCCTTTTCTCTCAAGTCCATATGGGCTAACAAATCCACATGCCTCTCAAATTCTTTGTCAATCTCTTCTGTTTTATTTTCTACAGCAATCACTTTATCATTGATTTGCTTAACTTCTGTAATATGCCCTATTGTTCCTTCAAGTTCTTTCACATCATCTTTCATTTCTTGTTTAGATTTCCCAAGATTCTCATCCGTTCTCTCAAAAGCCTCTATCTTGTTTCCAAGATTCTCTATTTTACTTTCTATTCTTCATCCCATTTGTTCAAGTAACTTCTGCATCATACCTGATGTGACAGGTTGGTCTGATGAACCTTTCCTGTCATGATTCTTTCTGGTACTCAATTCCGGAGGGCCTGCAAGACGGAGCTCTTCCGCCAAGTGTTCAAGCAAACAGGTTAACACCAACCAAGTAAGCTAGTCCCCTTCATTCATCTTGGCTGCCTGTTCTAATATCCTCGCTTATATGGAGGAATGATGTACACAGGAGTCAAATTACCAGCCATACAACTAACGCTGACAACTAACACTAAAGCCATACAACTAACGCTGGGGAAGGTATATATCATATAAATAAATATAGAATAAATTCCAAAATGCAAAAGGATAGAAATAGAGAACGTTTTCAAATCAAACACTTTCACTTTTAGTTGTCAGTAATCTGTGTCCTTTCACCATGGTAACAAAAGTAAAAAAACCAAAACAGATACTCCAGAATGTTTTCAAATAGAATACTTTCACTTTTAGCCATCAGCAGTTTAATATCCTTTTCACCATGGCAACCAAGGTCAAATAGTCTTATCTCCTATTATGTATAATGTATAATGATCTAATAACAGGTTAACCTTTAAACCAAAATATAAGAACAGCCTCATGGCAGATTTGTCTTCGCAGCCAAAAAAAAACTTTCATGCATGTGACTTTAATAAAAAATAAAATTAAAGATTAAAAATTAGCGATGGGAAAAATAATTAAACCCTCATCCATTTTGCTTTCCTAATTTCATTTCTAGCATTTCTTAATTATGTTTTTTTTGCCAAAGTTATTATTTCAGAGAGTTCTAAGAGAGGTCACCTCAGCAGGAGTTCTCTCTTTTGTCTTCAAAAAATCTCTTTGTCTGTAGATAATTATGTCCATAAATCTTAAGAAGCAGAGGAGGTCAGGCTTTAGGTCACACATCCGGGAGCAAGATTGTAAATTCCAAGACCTCAGATTGCTCTAAGTCGAGAGGTTTCTGTAAAACCACCACTCAACAGAAAACACCCAAAGAGCAACGTAAAGAGGTACACCTAGTTTATCCTTTTGATCTCCCTTCAATCTAAGGTGAATTTGCTGACCCAAGAGCCCTCCTAGTTGGTAATTAGCTGTGTTGTGTCTTCACTCCCTGTGAAGATGTCAGCCTGCCATTACATCTCCACTGTTTCCAAGATTATACAACCAAAGTTTTATATGTTACTTACAGCCTAACCAAAAACATATATTTTCTCAAGAGAAAGATGGGTAAAGTTTTCACAGTTAACTGAAGATCACAAGGAATATTGTCAGGTCCTGGGTCCACAGGTTGCCAGCTGGGTGCAGCAGAGTCCTCCAGAGCATGACTTTTCTGCTAGGGAGCTTGGCAGTGGCCTCAGATGGTGCAGGAGGTGGGGGGTTGGCAGACACATGAGTCCCTCTCTCCTGTTCACGGGTTCCCATTGCTCTCTCTAGTCCGCTGACTCTCTCCCACCACTTTTCCTCCCTGGCCAGCCTTGAGCTCCCTGCTTCTTTCCCTTTGGGGCAAGGCCCCACCGAGCCATCTAATCCCTCTCCTCCTTCATAAGGATCTGGCGGACAGCCAACCCTTGCTCCCAATGGGTTCCTCTCAATCTCTCCTTGAACCCACCCCTAGCCTTGCCCTTGGTGTGGGGTAAGGCTGACACACCTGTTTCCAATCTCCCTTTGCCGCCCAAGCTCCCATTCACTGTTTCCCTGTTGCTGCGGCCAACCTTTCCTCCCTCTGGGGAAAGTCCCTCCTGTAATCCAGCTGCAAGCCTGGGAGATGCCAGCAATGCCTCCCTGAGATGCTGTTTACTGCTTTTTCATTCAACAACTGTCCGGCTCCTTTCAAGGTTTGTGAGTGCAGGGGTGGAGCTGGGACCTTCACCCCTGGACAGATATATTACTACTTCCTCAATTGCCAGGGC